ATTTTATGGCACATTACAGGCTTTCCATTATAAAAACATAATAAGTAAGTGTGTAAGCAAATAAGAACTCATTGAATGAATGATGAAATGGGAAATGGGGCTGGGGTGGTAGATCAGTGGTCAAGCACTTGCCTAGCACATGTGAGGCACTGGGTTTGATTCTCAGAGCCGCAATAAATAAATAATATTTTATTTAGGTCCATTGACAAAAAAGAAAAAAGAAATGGATTCCAGACTGAGATTAATATCAGTTTCATATGAACAAAATTTTGTGTTCATATAATTTTTTTGTAGGCTTTTGCATTTCTTGGGGGATTACAGAACTTAATCTGGGCAATGTATCATGCTAGGTCACAGAACTATTAGACCTTGAGATGCCCTCCTCAACAGAAGAGGTCTCTTTTTCTTTATTATTAAAGGTGAAGAAAAAACTCTTTAACCAGGTTCAGTGGTGTGTCCCTGTAATCCCAGCGACTCAGGAAGTTGAGGAAGGAAGATTGCAAAATTGAGGCCAGCCTCAGCAATTTAGCAAGGCCCTAAGTAATTTAGCGAGATCCCGAATTAAAAAAAAAAAAAAAAAAAGACGGGGAATGTCACTCAGTGGTTAAGCACCCTGGCTCAAATTCCCAGTACAAAAAAAAAAAAAAGAAAGAAAAAAAAATTTTGTAATTTTTAGGAATTAAAAACAATGACTTTGAGGGGCAAGGAGAGAAGAAATGTATTCAAACCATCAGAAACCTTGCATCATTCTCCAAAATATCTATGCTTAAATTAGATCTAAAGCAGACTAACCACTCAGAGTTATAAGGCGGCTTAGCAGGTGCCCAGTTTCAACTTCAATTGGTGTGCAGTTTGGAAATGGCTCCTATCTCCTTTTTTCTCTTATAGTTTTAGTTGAAAATGGACACAGCACTTTTATCTTTTTATTATTTTTGGGTGGTGCTGAGGATTGAACTCACACGCTGGGCAAGCACTCTACCACCGAGACCACTGAGCTGCAACCCAGCCCAGCTCTTAATTTCTTATTCATGTTGGGGTTGATGGCGAGTCGGGGTGACAACAGGTAGGACAGACAGTATAATAAACATCAGAGACACACAAAAAGAGGAGGAATAAGGGAAGAGAGAGAAAGAGTAAGAAGTATAGAGAGGAGAGGAGGAGGAGAGGAGACAAGAGAAGCCAAGGAGTCACCTGCAGTTGCTGCAGGGCTCATTCCCGGGTGGGTGCTGTCAGTAACTCATGGCTTTACTAACCCGTGTCTTGACCTTTGATCTTCAGATGTGACTTCCTTTTTGACAAGTTGCATATTGAAAAATTTAATTAAATTTTAATAGATAAAATTATATATGTTTGTAGCATACGACATGATGTTTACATTGTGGAATGGCCAGATACCTATTTGCATTAACTCACCTAGAATTTTTTTTGTGGTGAGAATACTTCAAATCTGCATTGTTAGAAATTTTCAAGCATATGACGTATAGTTGACTATGGTTATCATATACGCAGTAGATCTTTTGAATTTATTCTTTCTGTCTAGCTAAAACTGTGTATCCTTAGACATCTCTACTCCTCAGCTTTTGGCAACCATCATTCTCTGCTTCTATGAGTTTGACTTGTGTGTTCACCGATGTTGTTGCAAATGACAGTATCTCCTCTGTTTTGATGGCCAAATAGTATTCCATTGTACTTATGTACCACATTTTCTTAATCTAGATCTGCTGATGGACACTTATGTTGATTCCTCATCTTGGCTATTGTGAGTAATGCTGTAAGAAGCATGGGGACACAGATAACTCTGTGATATACTGATTTTATTTCTTTTGGATATATACCCAGTAGCTCAGTGGTCTCAGTGGTAGAGTGCTAGCCTAACATGTGAGTCAATCCTCAGCACCACACAAAAATAAAAAGAAAAAAGTACTGTGTCCCCTTTCAACTAAAACTATAAAAGAAAAAAGGAGATAGGAGCCATTTCTCTGGACCAGTTGGTATTCTGTATCTGTTTTTGAGGAATCTCCATACTACTTTCCACAATGCCTGTCCGAGTCTGCGTTCCTACCAATAGGACACAGGGTTCCTTTTACTCCTCATCCTGGCCAACACTTGTCATCTTTTGTCCTGTTGATAATAGCTCTTCTAGCAAGTATGAGGTGATATCACATGGTGGTTTTAATTTGTATTTCTCTGAACATGAGCAATGTTGAAAATTGTTCATTTGAATGTCTTCTTTTGAGAAATGACTATTCAGATCCTTTGCCCATTTTAAAATCTGGTTATTTGTTTTTTTCTGTTTCATTTTCTGCTACTGAATTGCTGGAGTTCCTCATATATTTTGGATATTAACCCTGAGTCAGATACCCAGTTTTGAAATATTCATTCTGTGATTTTTCTATTCTACCCTAGACTGTTCTTTCCTTTTAAAAATGCATTTTCAGACCTACTAAAATGACATAAAGCTTTTTTAGAGTCTCAGGATCTTTGATCTGAAAAACACGTACCCAGGGCCGGGTCTTTCAATGTGTGATTCACAGACCATATGCATCATAATCACAGGGGATGCCTGTAATTCAACAGGAGGGGTGTGTTGGATTAAATGTAGATTCTAGTTTCCACAAGAGAACTATTGAAGCCCTTGATATAGTGGCTTGAATTTTACGTTTTTATGAAATTACTAGGTGATTCTTATGCCCACTGAAGTATGGGAACCACTGGCCCAGAGAGTACAGGATGCCCTACAAATAATTTCCAACCGTGATCTCCCAGGCCCAGGAGGACTGCAGCAGAAGTACCTCAGGGAAATATCCACAGAGCTGCTCCTCTCTATCTGGAGTGTTAAGTAGTTTCCACTCTTAAGAAACAGCTTTGAAATTTTAGGGCGAGAAAATGGAGGTGACAGTCGTTTTGAAGCTTTAGCTCCAAAAATAAAAATGTGTTAAGGTTCTTAAATGTCTGGCCAAAAGGGAGAAACATTGGAAAAGGAACGGCTCCTCCTAGCGGTAAGAGAAAGTATTACAAAGCACGCTCTCCCATTCGAGAGGAAGAGGTTCTTCAGAATTTCAGCTTCTCAGTGTGGGAGATGTGGAACGACTTAGCAGAACTTTACATGGTCCCGTGTGAGAGTATGTAAATTAAAATATGTTCTCAAGGGACATATTCTTGTGACCTTGAAGGAGAAAGAGCATATTTTTATGGGGAATGGATTTTTGGTAGTCTTAGGAAACTGTGGGTATCCTGAGATAGTCTCAATATAGAGAGTGTGTGTATGTATACGTTTTAAAATTAAATATATTAAACTAAATATTTAAAAACAAATATATGAAAAAAGGAACTTAATGGAATTTGTAGGAAAATGGATGAAACTTGGGACCATTAGGTTAAGCCAAACAAGCCAAACTCAGTAGGTCAAGGGTCCTATGTTTTCTCTCTTATGTGGAAGCCAAAGAGGAAAAAGGAAAAGAAAGTTGTGTGTGTGTGTGTGTGTGTGTGTGTGTGTGTGTGTGAGAGAGAGATAGCTCATGAAAATCAAAGGGAGATCATAGAGGAAAGGGACCAGGGAGGGAGGAGAGGAGGAAGGGGGCAAGTGCTGGGGAGGGATATTGGCCAAATTATATTGTCACACTGTGTGCATGTGTGAATATGTGACCACAAGTCCCATCATTAACGTAAATCTATAATGCACCAATAAAATATGTGGAGAAAAAATTTAATATATGCTGAAAGTAAACACATGTATATAGACAGAAAACACACACACATACTATATATATAGTATGTGTTTATATAATATATAATATATATATATCTTTGTACTTATATACATAAACATCTTTTGTTACTTCTCAATTTGTTTTTTTTTCCTCTGGAAAGTGAAGTCTGAATGTAGAATAAACTTAGCAAAAAGTATAAAGAAGGAAGCTTAATTTTTATGAAAAGTATGATTTTTAAAAATAAAATGACTTATAAGAAAGAAAATACCTACCATTGTGATAGACAAAGGCACATCCTGGGCATGGCAGAATGTGATTCTGTACTCTGGTTCAAAGAGAAGTTTGATGTGTTCTTGGAGTTTTTGTTCATGGGCAAGTGGATACAAAATTCAAGGACAGAGTCAGAAATAGGGTGAACAATTTTAGCTCTAGAAAGGAATTGGCAGCCGCTGGAAAGCAGCAAACACAGATGAAAAAAAAAAAATCCTTTGGGCTGAAGTTGTGGCTCATTGGTAGAGTGCTTCCCTTAGCACGTGCAAGGCCCTGGGTTCAATTCTCAGCACCACATAAAAATAAATAAGTAAAATAAAGGTATTGTGTCCAACTACAAATAAAAAATAAAAAAAATATTAAAAAAGTCTTTCAACTTTAGTAAATCATCCACATGTCCAGGATCAAATATAAGAAAATGTGGATTTTGTTGATAGTGCCTGCCTGGCTTTGCCTAGGCCACCGTGCTGAAGTGATCTGTTTTTCTGTGCTTGGATCCCTCAGGCTACCTTTGACATCCTGGGCTTGGATTGATCCCCTTTGGGTCCCTCCACTGAAGCATTCCTGTGCTACTTCTCCTCCACTCTGGAAGGACACCTGGGCCTTCCATAAGTCCACCTAAAATGAATCGTCCCATAAGATCACCAAAACCAATCCCCCCGAGAGGTCCTGCTGAGAGTGGATTTAGAGATACATCCCCTCCCGTGCCCTGCTGTGACCACCAACACTATAATTGTAGGCTGAGGTTGCTGTGACCTGGAGCTGTATATACTTTTTAAAGTTGTGGCACGTTCTCTGTGAACCATGTCTAATGTTTGAAATACCCCAAGAACAGAAATTTGAGGTCAGAACAAGAGAGAAACAGTAGGCAGTGACACAGATGGTTGGGAAGGGCTTTGTTGGAGAGCAGGTTCCCTTTGCCTGAGTTTCCTCCCAGATCACACCATACAAATGTTTCTTTACTTCCATTCCATTATACTAGACACCTGGAAGATTAAACTGAGTCGTGGCAGGCCAATCAACATATCCAGTCCAAATTTTAATTCATTTCCAATTTCCGCCTAACAAATAGGTTTCTTGGACAATGACTAGAATCAAATGATATTTCTTCCTTCTATTAAAGAGGTGGTGCTAAAGAGAATCCTATAAAGAATGAGGAGAATGGGCAGATTGGTAATCTTTCGCCGATCAGTCCCTGAATGACGGAAAGTAGATTTTCTTCTTAAGGTTTTGTTTCTTGGGCATGTGCGTGAGCCAGGCATGTTCTAGAGATGCAGGTGGGATAGGATTCCTTTCTTCCTGGAGGGTCTGCTCAGGAATGAAGGACAGTAAAATGACATTGAAATTCTCCTAGGAATCCCAAGTCTTACAATATGTCCTCTTTTGTGAAGTAAGGACCAACAAGTGCCTCTCAGGATACTACCACAGAGGAGACATTTTTATAGGTGAGGTAGTTTCAGATTCTGACAAATCCTGTCTGAGGCAGCAGGAACACTCAGTCGAGAGTTGAGAGTCTTGCCTCTGCCATTCATTAACTAGGAAACCTTTGATAGGACATGAAACTTCCCTCATCTTATACAAAGGAAATTCAGAGGCTTCCTTAGAAAAACTGAAACCAAATTCTCCAAGATTAGTGATGGAAAACCAACTTCTACCTAAGGAGAAGTAGGTGGGTTTTATAGACTTTTACTTCTGTCCCTGGAAGTCATTTTACTAATTATCTCCTAGGCAACCCACGAGGCTACCACAACTCCAAAGTCAAGAGATGATTTCTGTTTAGACTCTATTCCCTCACCTGGAAGACGAGGTGTTTGGATGATGTAAGCATCTGAGTTCCTTTAAGAGCTGACAGTTTATAGATGCGAAACTCTAATTTGCCATCAGTCTCACCCAGAGAAAAACTTACAGAGGTGATTGTCTCAGGGAAGACTTAGTAGAGGACGCCGCTGTAGAGCAAGGATAAAATTTGGTCTCAAGATGGTATATTGAAGGGAACTTTCTATTGCGTCATAAGGAAATATTTTTTTTCAGTTCTTATTCTTCCAATCTGGAATTCATAGCATCTATTGCTTTTCGGAAGGCCCGAGTCTTCTCTTCAGTCTCCTCATGGCTGACTTCATCTCCTGGTTCCTCAGGGTGTAGATCATGGGGTTCAGGACAGGGATGATGACAGTGAAGGTGACGGAGACAGCTCTGTCCATGGGGAGGGCGGTGAAGGGTCGGGCATAGACATAGATGCAGGGCACAAAGTGCAGGGTCACCACAGCGATGTGGGAGGTGCAGGTGGAGATGGCTTTCCTCTTGCCCTCTCCAGTGTGTGACCTCAGCATGGTCAGGATGACTGTGTAGGACACAAGGAGGAAGACAAACCACAGGGTGGAGATCAAGCCATTGTTGGAGATCATTAAGACCTCAAGAGCGAACGTGTCCGTGCAGGCGAGTTTGAGGACCTGGGGGACGTCACAGTAGAAGCCATCGACAACATTGGGTCCACAGAAGGGCAGCGGGAGCAAGAGGGAGATCTGCACGATGGAGTGGACGAAGCCCCCCA